GAAAAAAACTATATAACGTAATTGAAAATATGGAGGAAATATTTTTAAAATAAGAAAAAAATATAGGATTAATATGTTTACTATATTCTTTTAAAGACGGTGAAATGAAGCTTTTCTACCATATTGATATAAATTTTTAAAACAATGTCATTTTAATTATAATATTAATTTAATGCGGTCTATTAATTTGTCAACATGTTTTTTATGTGAGACTAGTCTAGTATATTTTTTATGCTGGACTATTATCTGGGCCACTATATATATTTGGAAACAAATTAGAAAAACCGTGGCTAATTATTTTTAACCTTATTTGGTACGGAAGGCATGCAATATTAGTCTATTATTCCATGGGGCATTATATTTAAAAATAACATGTGCTTAGAACTATTTTAATCTGGACAGAGCATGATAATATTTCTTTATACAAGTGATTTGATATAGTTTTAACCAATTGGTTTTCACTCTAATAAGATAGAGGTGTACCTACAAAATACTTCAATTCTAAAGTCACATTTTATGCAAACATATTTATTCATGTAGAAGAAGATGTGTACTTTATGTTTAACTTGCTAGGGTAGGCGGCCGCCCCCCTCAAAATTTGAAGAATTTTTTTAACATAAGTATAATGGAAGAAATTTCTATTTTTTCTCTATTAATGTGAAGTAATTTTCTCCCACCGCAGAGAGTTTATAGAGTTTATAAGATCTGTTTACAAATTACACTAAGTATGACCAGTCATACACTCTTGATCAAAGTACGTATGACGGTCAGACACAATATAGTTTGTAAGAGTTTCTAAACGAAAAGTTTGTAAATATAACATTCCCCTTAAATTATAGTTTAAACCTCGACTTGAAACTTACAGTTTTAACTTCTATTATGCTTAGATGTTAACACAAATCTTCTCATCCATGAATAAAAATAAGAAGTTCGAGAGTCTTATGAAAGAATGAACCTTATTCTTTCGATCCCTCTCCTTTTCTGATGATTCGTGACAGAGAGGGAAGTGAGGGGCAGAAGGGTTTTGGTGATTGTGCTTCTTGGCAATCTGTCTCTTCTGATTTATCTTTGACTTTTTTTTCTTGTTGGGCTAACAGTGAGTAAATAGAAAAAAAGGTTAAGAAATGAGAGGGGTCTCCTTTGAATTATCTATTTAGATATAGTAATTAGTTCATATTTTTTGTGAAATCTAAACCTTTGCTCTCTTCTCTTTTTCTTTGTTTTCTTTGCATAAAAAATGTTCATTTTAGGGGTTGAAAAGCTGTAGTTTTTTTCAAATTGATAGTAAATTGTACTGTGACATCTTCCACCTCTCTCTGTCTCCTTCTTTCTCTCTATAACGAGTTAAAAGAGGTATTTATGAGTTATGTTCTCTGGATTGGTGTTTCGGCCTCACATATATTGTGGTTGAAGAAATGAATAAATATTTAATTTTTCGTATTTTGACCTCTCATATATTATGTTTGAATAGAGAAACAAATATTTAATTTTTAGCAAAATTCGTGGGTTTAACATATTTGTATTTATAGTTGAAGAAGAGATGCCCTTGCAAGTTGCTGCAGGTGGTGAGACAGGAAGCCATTTCAATTAATCATTGTTATGGGTGGCTTGAGATAAAGTTTGCAAAGGAGTTGCAAAAATAACATTGCTAAGATGCAGGGTAATATTGCTGAGATGCAAAACAGCTTCCGTTGACTTAGAGATTATCTTAAAAATACATCTCTTTATGATGAAAGCTTTAAATATGGGCCTTACACATTATTATTCCAAATCAATATGATTTTAATTTTTTTTAAAAATAATAATTAACAGGGTCATTCATCCGGTGAAATGGAGATGGGACAATTAAAAAAAGTCACATGGAGATTTTTATAAGTATGGAGGCGTAAAATTAATTATTAAAATGAAACTCTTTTTTCTTTGAAATTAAATTTAGCTTTATGAATAGCAAAAATCCGAATTAAAAACTTCTATCATGTAGTTATTCCAACATTTTCCCGATTATAGTTAATATATCCATTTCATTTAGTCTTATTCAATTTTAGATTTCTCAACATCTTCCCCTCAAGTGTGAGTCCAACACCATTAGCTCTAATATTAATTGTTGGGCCATGCACGGAGAGCTCATGGCGGGAAGAGACCATCAACCATGGATCAAGTGAGCAGCAACATTACGTGGGCTCAAAACATCAAAATCAAATCCAAAACCTTAAGACATTAAGTGTATGAGTCATTCCACTTATATGGTGTTCACTTAGTCCATTCTTAACCAATGTGGGAACTTTTTCACTCAATCATTCACACTTGGATTCCTTAATATATTCGAGATATGTTATATATGTTCGGATGCTGATGGGTTTTTGTTAATACAGGGATTGTAATGTTTTTTCTTCTGAGTCCTCTTATGGTCGTTGAATGAAGATTGTTGAAGAAGGCTTCTTCCGTGTTCCGATTAGCAGGAAGTAGTGCATTATATTTGCAAGGATTACAATATTACTTAAGTCAGTAGACAAGTAAGACTACATTTTTTTAAAAAAAATTGTCCCTCTCCTACTTTAAATTTAGTTTGTATAAATTTTTTATGGGTTTGTTTTTTTTAAAGTTACTTTAGATAATTTTATTTAATGTTCATCGAAACGACGTCGTTTTGGGACGGAAATCATGATATTTTTGTAATTTTAATTTATTTCAGGGTTATAATAGTCTTTTTCATTCTAATTTTTAATTTTTCAACCTCAAAACGACGTCGTTTCGATGAACATTAGACAAAGTTGTCTAAAGTAACATTAGATATCTAAATTGGCTAAGGGAATGGGTCATAATTAATTATTATGGAGAACCCGCATGGCCTCCCCCCCTTTTTTTATAGGTTTTTATTTAAAATTTGGGATAGGTTGTTCTACTTACATTTTTTCATGCCTACCTTACCTATCACTCTCCAACACGGTTAGATCAGAATCTCAATGAATTTTTATTATTTTTCTCTAATGTTCATCGAAACGACGTCGTTTTGGGGCGAAAATCATGATATTTTTGTAATTTTAATTTATTTCAGGGTTATAATAGTCTTTTTCATTCTAATTTTTAATTTTTCAACCTCAAAACGACGTCGTTTCGATGAACATTAGACAAAGTTGTCTAAAGTAACATTAGATATTTCCCCCCCTTTTTTTTTATAGGTTTTTATTTAAAATTTGGGATAGGTTGTTCTACTTACATTTTTTCATGCCTACCTTACCTATCACTCTCCAACACGGTTAGATCAGAATCTCAACGAATTTTTATTATTTTTCTCTCTTTATTATTTTCCCTTTAAATTTAGTCTCTATATTATTTTCAATGATGACTGTGGGTAAACTTGTGTTACATCAGCATTTGTTTATCACGGCAAGTCACAAATTACATGGTCATACTTAGGATTAATTAAAGATAAAATATTATAATTAAATAGTGATTGATTTTCAAAGATAAAAAATGTATATGGACTAAATTGAAAAAAAAAAGTATAACTATAAAGTACAGATATATAGTTTAAACTTATAATTATTTATGCAGAAAAAGTGCTAACATAATCTTGTATAAAAATTTGAAAGTTGGAAATATATAAGCTATAAAATCTCGTATTACCTGTTATAGCTTTACTTGAAATTTTTGGCAAAAGACATAGCAAACAGTCCACTGTCAAAATATCATCCCTCTATGGTTGGGTAACTAGGTTTGGGCTTAATTGAACATGTTACTTTTTGAATATATATATATTCCACTGTCAAAATATCATCCCTCTATGGTTGGGTAACTAGGTCATGGCTTAATTGAACATGTTACTTTTTGAATATATATATATATATATATATATATATATATATATATATATATATAAAATATTTTTTTGGATATCATGTCTTATATCCCAAAATGAGTCAACGCATTGAATGCTGTACAGCGTATATGGGATCACTAATCAATCCCAACCACCAGTCCTTTGTTTCATGTGCAGCATGGATTGCTTTCCAATAGTTGTTCATACGCTGCTGCTTTCAATGATTTATAGCATGTTTCATCTGAAGTTAAAACTATTTTTCTTATACATTATAAGACAGTGCTTAGAGAAGTCAATATTTCATTTTATTAGTGCAGCGTGGTAAAATTTTAATTTTTTTTTAGTCCTATATATATACTTCACAAATTAAATAAAAATGTTTATGATAGACCCAACCAAGCATGAATTTGACTCTAGTTAAAGAATTACAATTAGTATTTTGGTAGCTATATAACCTAGTGAGAATACTTTGTTTCTCTCTCATTCATCGCGATTCACGTGCATGCTAAGAAGTACATGCAGAAGCTAGCCGGTCATATTCGCAGGCGAAATTTATATTGTATTATATATATTCATATGACTTTGGTTTCTTCCTCTAAAATTTGGAGTATAATGCATTTTTTGGTCCAAAGCAAACCAAATATTAAATAACTCTGACCATTTTCATTGCATCCACGGAAAGGAACAAATCTTTGGTAATCCTGTAATATATAATCTTTGGTAATCCTGTAATATTATATATATATATATATATATATATCTAAAAAGAGTAAAAATTGGAATTTAGATGAAAATAAAGATAAAAGTATTTGTTTAAATAAAGATAAAAATTATATTTAAAAAAAAAAAGTACCGAATTGAGTGCTCCTTTAGTACTAAAGAAAAATTCCACCGAAACTATATTCGACCCAATAACAACCATGCTTCTCAAGAATGCGTAAGTAAAGTATCTATAAAACTCGAAAACGACATTTACTTAACAGTAAGCATGGAAACACTCGGAACACCAAAGGGAAAAATGCCCTTATTCTATCAGGAAAATTACAAACATAATAGTGACCAACATCACAGCCAAAACCACCAGTCCAAGTCCAATATCCATCTCTCCATACGTACACACCTTTACAAATATATATATCTAACCCCATCTTGTGCCTTTTATGCCACGGCTTCTACTCTCTTTATCTGTCTCTTCTATATCCACCAATACATTTTTTAGCGCTTTATTTGCCACAAACACCCACACCCCACGTACGTACAGAAAACGGAAATTACAATGAGAAAACCTTGTTGTGACAAAGAAAACACCAACAAAGGTGCTTGGTCCAAGCAAGAAGACCAAAAGCTCATCGATTACATTCGAGCTCATGGAGAAGGCTGTTGGCGTTCCATTCCCAAGGCTGCCGGTTAGTTAGTTAGTTAGTTAGTTAGTTAGTTAATCATATATATATATATATATATATATATATATATATATATATATATATATATATCTCATACAATAATGCAAACCCTTCCCTAATTTCCTTATAGATGCACCCAAAATTTAACTACACAACATGAACATGTGGGTATCATTACCATCATATCATTCAATTTATCAGGGCTGCATCGTTGTGGCAAAAGCTGTAGGCTAAGATGGTTAAACTACTTAAGACCAGACATCAAACGTGGAATCTTTGCCCAAGATGAAGAAGACCTCATCATCAAACTCCATGCCCTCCTTGGCAACCGGTACCTTAATTACTTTATCTCTAAACCTCTCACTTAGCTATTTATAATTACACTACTAGAAAAATCCTGTATTGTGAGGGAATTTGTGAGGGAAAGTAGTAGCGAGGATGAAATTAGCGACGGAATTTTCATAGCAATTCCCTCGCTATACAGGATTTTTCTAGTAGTGTATGTATATATATTATTATATCAAATTTTGGTAATTAATTTAACTTAGTTGGATGTATATATATTAGGTGGTCACTCATAGCTGGAAGGTTGCCAGGACGTACGGACAACGAGGTGAAGAACTATTGGAATTCTCACATACGAAGAAAGCTAATAAAGATGGGAATTGATCCAAATAACCATAAGCTACACCATGGATTTCCTCGCCCTCATTCTCATCACCCTCTTTCTGCTACGGGTGCATCATCATCTGAGTCCATGAACAAAGAACATAAAGTAGTCCCTTTATCCAAATCATGTGTAGAAGAAGAAACAGCAATTATTTCATCATCCCCCGTGAATCTTGACCTATCCATTGCTTTACCTTCGCCTAGGCTTGCTGTTGTGGAAGATAAACCTACGCCAAATTCTGAATTTGCTAAGAGATGTGACATGGATATAGATCTTAATTGTTAATTAATACTTCTTGGTCTCGTGTGAATGCATATATATAAAATAATTTAATTAGTAAGCCAAATAAGGAATTAATTACAAGAGAGGGTTTTGGCTGTAGAATGCTAATTACCAATGAATTGTATTGTATTGCCTTTGTAATTGTAACCAAATTTGAGGCATGCAGCACTGGAGATATTATTTTTCTTCCAAGATCTCGATCAGAGATATATATTTGTCTCATTAATTTCATGTATACATAGTTTACGACAAGAAAGTTGAGTATGATTGAAAGACGCACTTCAAATTAGTTATAGTTCATGTATCTTTTAAGAAGTGTCCTTTGTATGTGTATGCAGATACCCCAGATATTGCAGTTCATGCATATTGCTGCAACCTGGCCCTTAATTATAATATTGTGTAAGCTAACGCGGCGAAAGAGCTAGCATGTGTTTTCGGAATTGGAATTCGGAAACTTATAATTGCTACGGCAAACCAAAAAGAAAAAGGTTTTAATTAAGCAATCAATTAAGAAATGTTCTTTTAACCCTATTTTAAGTGTGGTGGTTGCAGCTACCCGCAGACCATCGCAGAATTGAAGCTGTCTGATTTAGATTCTACTAATGGACCTTCTAGGTGTGGACATGTACTAATTAAGATTTCTATAACTTGTTTATCTATTCATATGATATATAAATATGTAAAGAATCCAATAGATTTATATTAACAACAATTAGGTCCTTTAAAATATCAAACAACGTGTTTGTGAATTTAATTAGCCTTTACGAATAAGCATATAGGATTTAGATTTCTTGGAGGCCGGTGTGCAATTTATAAAGAGATTCAAAACACAATGGATATCCCTTAGATAGTTACCGTGGTCAAAAGCGATTCTTTGAATTTTAAGGTTAAAATTCCGATTCTTGAAGAGTCACTTTTGGAAGACCTGGGTGTTTAGGAGAAGGTTTTTGTTTAGATATCTGAAAAATCGAAGGTGGTAATCTAAATTATATATCCACTTTTGATAAAAGATTTCTGATTTTTTTTCTTTTCGAAAATGTGATTTTTTCAGGATTTTTTTTTTAGCAAAATTTAACCAAGAATACTAACTAAACATACCATCTAGATAGTGGTATTCTTGGATTTTCAGAAAAATGAAAAATTTAACATATTTTTAATAATATTTTCAATCAACCAAACATAACATCAAAAAAATTAATCTAATATCTTTGAAAATATTTTAAGCTATTAAATAAATTTTTTGTAATATTTTTAGAAAAGTCAATTTTTGATTAGATTTCTAAGAATCGTGATTGTGTGTTAAAAAAAATTGCAAAAGAAATGTATGTATTTTAAAAAATTGCACTCGTGTCGGGTACTGTATCCAAATCCGATAGAAGTGCTGCTATCAGTAAGCTGCATTGTGGCACCAGCCAAAATATATATATATATATATATATATTTACAATTTTTTTTTTTTTTACAAACTATATTAAGTACGACTGGTCATACTTTAATCATGCAGTGTATGATCGATCGTACTTAGTGTAATTTGTAAAAAAAAGTTTGTAAACGAATTTTATCCCTATATATATATATTACAAAGAGTAATAATACCTTGTATTAAAAAAAAAAATAGTAATATAACAGAAGGTTCTATATTTATCAGATTGAACCAATAAAATCTTAGCGAGGTAGTCAAGTTTCGCGAACCTGTTTCGCCGGCCTAGAATAAAAAAAGTGGTCTAGGTTTGTGAAATTAAATGCAAAGCAGTTCATAGGAGCTTTTCATAGTACTTTTGATCACATAATAAAGTTATCACTTTTAAAATGAATGGCTAATGTTGTTTCGGGTGTCAAATTGATGTGTCCTACTATTCGGTAGTAGTGAGTTTTCAACAAACGTACTGGCTGTCGGAAACCTTTGTAAGTGCGGGATTTCATGTACAATATCTTTCGTAGTTAGCCTTCCATGAGCACATGTTGGGGCATCTACCATTCAGATAAACATATGTCACAATGTGGTACGTCAAACGGGAATGCTCTTAATTTCATTTCAGGATATTCTGTGCTTAATTTACGGATATACTTATTGTACATGTCTGTTAAATTATGATTGTGATCTAAATGTGTTTTGATATAAAATTTTAACTTCGTGCAAATAAATAGATAATATATATTTATATGTTATAGACCACACACATAATTTGAGTTGAAACCATCTTTAACAGTAATAAATACAAAAAAATAATAACAAAATATATTTTTATGATTTTCTCCCCCCTTAATATCACTGAAATAAAAGAACATTTACAAAAACTCAAAAGTTAAAAACATATGCATAGCAACGGTGTATCTCAAAATGTGCGTAGCAATCCTAAATTTTATGCCTTAAAATCTTCTTATATTTTATATTTAAGCGGGGAGAAGAGTTTTTTATAATACACTAGAAATTTCTTACAACTCTAAAATAACATTTTTTTTGTTTAGGGCAAAAAAATTTAATTTAATTTTTCTCTTGCAATATAATTTTTTTCAAAATGTCTTGTATTTTCCCCAAAATCTCAAAATGTTATTTTAAGATTGCACGAGATAATTTTATCTAAAAGAAACACTAAATTAATTTAAGAAATTCATATTATCAAAAAGATAACATTAGTATCTGATTTTTTTATTTTAACACTAAATTAATTTAAGAAATTCATATTATTAAAAAGATAACATTAGTATCGAATTTTTTATTTTATTTTTAAGAATGAATTTCTTCATTTACAGCGACTATAAAACCAAAAATTATAAAGGTTAAAAATTTAAATCATTCTTAAGGGTTGATTTGTCATCATTAATTATACCTTTTATAATTTAATTTTTTTAAAAATATCTTTTTAAAATCTTTAATAATTTCCATTCGTTTTATGAATTTTAAGTCACTACTAAAAAATGCATTTTTTTCGATGAAAAAATTCCGTTGAAAATAGTTAAAATTCCGTCGAAAATAAAGTTTTCGACAGAATTTTCGACGGAAATGAAGCTGTGGTATATCTCTTCGTTGATAACAATCTTAATTAATTTTTTTTAATTGGTTGTATAAATTAATTACAAATTTATTTTTAAAAAACTGGTTTGAATTTGGCTATTTAAAGAAATATTCTTGTATCTTTCAAAAAAAAGAAAAAAATATTGTTGTATAGTAGAGTTGAAAATAAAAGAATTAAGAGATTTGAATCACGCCTTTCTCATATAATCAGGCTTGAATTAATAAGGAAACTTAATTATTTTAAAATCTACTTAATTAGAATTCATTTATTATAGTTAAATAGATGCGAATTATCTTGACTATTTAAAATTAGATTCGATGTACGTACGCCTTTCTCACCAGTACATTCTTTATATATATATATATATATATATATATATATATATATATATATATATATATAAAAAATAAATTTACTCACAAATGAACATTGGAATTAGCCGCATTAACGCTGCTTTTTTATTGTATTTTCGTTATTGTAACATGCTGATTTAACATTGATAAGCTATCTTTATTATGTTGCAATAGCAGTTAATTATGATAATTTAAATTAATTTTACTTGATTTTTACCAGTCAAACGTTAATTGATAACTTTAATTAAATTTTAAACGTCAAATGCTAGAAAATTATAAAATAAATAAATTATCACATAAATCATTTTTAAAAGAAGAACAATATTTGAAATGATGACACATGACATAAAACTTGAAGCTATAAACTTTTTTGTATATATAGTACAATATATTAGATATTACTAGGTATAACTTTCTTTGGAAAACAAGAAGTGACTACACCTTCAATTATAAACTATACTATTAAAATTATTTTATATCCCAATAATAAAACATCATTAACGGAATCACTAACTTGAAAATTAAATTAATATTATTTTTAAAATAAATACATTTTTTATTTTAAAAACTAAATTGGTACCACTTATTCTACACGAAATTTTATTAGAAAAAATAAACAACGACATAAAGGACATGCCTCACAATGACATAATACATAGAAAATGCTCGTACACCGTATACGCAATTCTGTTATTGGAATGTGCGCTATACCTAAAAGAGAATTTTATAATTTTGAGTATTACTTTGTTAAAACATAATACGTAATACCCAATAAAATTATACATGCCATTAAACTTAAAATAAATATTACTAAATTACGTCCGATCGATTATTATACAACTTATAGTATCAACTTACGTCATTGGTATTTTTCATTCGTAAGACAATCTACAAATTCATTTCTATATATGCCTGCCATGGCCCATGGCCAATTTATGTAAGCATGATAATATTTTGACTTTGGATATATTCAAAGATTAATAGATTAGCTGACCATTGTGGATCGAGCTCTAAATTCATTGTAAAGAGTGACTCTTTTCTTCATTCTCCAAACTCAAGACTTTTAGTTTAGAAGAAAAAGAATTCCTTATCACTCAAATGAATGGTTATTGATAATATTTTGATTGTATTAGGACGGATAAGAAATTTTTTTGTTAAATATGATTCATATTTTGCATTTAGATAATAATTTTTATCGATGAGATGCACAGAAAATTAATGAAGTCTCGTTCTTCTATATGTCTCAACATATAGTATTCATTTAGTTAATTATCACTACAACAAAAACGGAATTTAAAGGTGGTTTATTTTAGTTTTGAAGTCGGTTTACACCGCCTTCAAAAATTTCTATGGCTCTTTGAAAACCAATATTGGAGTTGGCGCCGTTGAATAATTCAGAGTCGGTTTTGTGAAACCGACGGAATAACCTACGTTAAAACACAATCGATGTTGTATAACCAACGTTGAAACACAATCGAAACACAATCAACGTTGTATCTGTACAACTGCTATATTTTCTACTATTAATTTATATTGTAGTTATTCAAATATTTAATAAATTTATAATATTTACAGCATCGATTTTAAATGGCCGTGAATTTATAGGTCAAGCTTTTGAAAAATAAAATTATAACCTAATTTTTAAATAGGCTTATATTTTAAACATTTACTAAATCATTGAAAGATGAAATAGGAAGAGTATAGGAAGATGAAATAAGATAAGATATTTTTGCCATTGAAACTTAGAAGCTTTTCCCTAAACATATGACATTTAGGGCATGTTTGGAACACCTGATAAAGAAGATAGGATATGATAACTTATCATATCCTACTTTTATCTCTTATTTGGTGGGTCAATAGGATATGATTAGGTT